ACTCTTTCCTGCCTATACAGGGGGTCGGACTCGATGATCTATTGAGGTCCCTTCCGACACTAGAATCTATGAATCTATGAATGCTGAACTTCATCTTGTTAGCTGCAACCCAGCCTTACAATCTATTGAGATCCTTCTGAATTGTGCACTTCTCCTCCAATATTTTCACAAACCTTCCCAGTTTTGTGTTGTCTGCAAAATTGCTTCAGAAGCTTTCTATGCCAACATCCAAATAGTTAATAAACACATTGAACAACACTGAGTTCCCTGCAGGACTCCACTCAAAACCTCCTGCCAATCCGACATGGATTAATTTAGAGTTAGCCTTTGTTTATGGCTCCTGAGCCACTTGTCTATCCATTCTATAGTCGTTTTGTCCAGCCCACGTTTCTCCAAATTGTTTTATGAGAGGGTCACATGATACCTTGTCAAAAGCCCTGCTTAAGTCCAGATACACAATATCCACAGCCTTCCCTGTATCCACCCAAGTAGTTACTTCAAAGAAGGAGATCAGATTTGTTTGACACTATTTGTTTTTCATAAATCCCTGCTGTCTGCTTGTGATCAGCCTGTCCTCCTCCAGATGCCTGCAGATGGCCTTCCTTAGGATCTGCTCCAGTAACTTCCCAGGTATTAAGGCAAGGCTAACTGGCCTGTAGTTCCCCTGTAATTCCTTTTTGCCTTTCTTAAACAGGGGCACTATATTGGCCCTTTTCCAGTCCTCTGGTACCTGGCCTGTCTTCCATGACTTCATGAAGATCAGTGCCAAAGGATGCAAGATCTCCTCTGCCAGTTTCTTCAGTACCTGGGACTGCAGCTCATCAGGCCCTGACAACTTGAATTTACTCGGATCCATCAAACCATCCAACTCCAGTAGAAGAAACTAATGCCTCAAGCCAATGACAGCAAATATTTTCTACTGAGTGGCTGCTTTCAGGCCCTCTGGCAACAGCAGGGAGATTATCCCTCCTAAAAATCTATTTCTTCTTTGAGTCAAGAATGAAACAAAACTACTCCAAATGTGTCACCCTTCTTTTAGGTTTCCCTTCTCTTCTCCGTTTCTTCCTCTTCCTTCAGGTGATCTGGGCAGACGCACTGATTTTGTAGCTGACCAGAGCTGAGGCAGCTTCACTCACTCAATAAATAACAATACTTTTAAAAAAGCAATAAGAGTGTCTTCTTCCCTGAGGGACATGACTGTACACCAATGCCTTGCTTCATCAGGGACACCTAATGGCAGACTGACAATTGGTACCTCTGATCCTCAGAAGGTGTGTTGACAGCATCATTGTGGGGACATTTCTACTGGGCACCACTATCACAGAAAGAATGATGTCTAGATAGGCACAATCTCTTTCCAAGCTTACCTTCCATCCATGCAGATTTTGTCTCCCACATCCTTCAACAGTACATCATCAAGTTCTTGCACAGAGCACTTCAGCCCATGGAATTCACTCCCTGCCCCTGGCAATGAACGGAGAAAGCAATGAATAGCCCTCCCCATTCCCTACAAAAACCAGCATGAACAAAGTTGAACATTTTGCATTCCCATGGGAATTAGTGCAGACCCCATTCATAACAACTGCTACTGATTGTGCCACTTCCCTTTGGACAGGAGTCTGGCACCTAATAATTCCCTCAATCAAGAAAGCTTCCTTAATATTAACTCTACATTGCCCCCGCCTTAATTTCCACCCATTGCTCTCACTATATCATGTCAGTCTGCTTGAAAGAATTCTCCCTCTTCAATGTGTGCTCTTCAGAGATTTGTACACCGCTACCCTTCATACATGCATGTAAGGGCAGAAGGAACCAGCCTTCTTTATAATACAGCCCAGAGAACCTCAGCAAAGTAGGCTGAGATTGGATATTGGGAAAACTTCTTTATTGTGAAACCAGTGAAGCGGTAGCATAGACTGCCTAGAAAAGTTGTGGAATCTCCCTCATTATAGGTTTTCAAGAAGAGGTTGGATAAGTGTTGGGAAGGGAGGACTAAGGAGTAACAATGCTTGGAGTGTGCTGTGAGCAACAACAGTTGGAAGCCCAGGAGACCACTCCACATGCATCTCTTGAAGATCATAAGGAGAGCTCTAGAGTGCCAAGCAGGTAGAAACTGGAGAGGACCATGCTCAGCAGCATACAAATCAAGGAGAGCTCCAATAACTAGCTTGGTTATGAAAAAGAACTGAAAAGCTGGAACAAGTTTATGGAAGGGATGACAGAAAAGGGAGCCCTGGCTCTCCAGTCAGGGGGTGAAATGTGTGGAGCTGTGTCTGTGCCTCCCGGTTGCAGTGTAGAGTGGAGAGTGCTTCTGGCTTTGCTGGTAGCCACATGGGGCCAGGAAGAATTTTTTTAAGCTCCATTTGCTACAGGTGTTCCAGGAGGGTTTTTTTATCACCTTCTTCAGAAGCACTGAGTGTTGGCTGGGGCTTTTGACTGGGATGTGCCAATGCCCCTACTAGGACTTAAGCCCAGAGATTTCTGTCTACAGGGTCTTGACTCTCCACTCAGGGCCAGACTGACTGCCACATTTGGGGTCAGGAAGGAATTTTACCCCATGGTCAGGTTGACAAACTGGGGGTTTTAATTTTGGCTGTAGCAGGGAGCTTGGTCTTCTTCCTTGGATTTCAAGTGTATTTTACCCACTTACTTCCTTTTCTTGCAATGACAGAACATTGGCAGTACTTTTACCCCTTGCTTCCCCCTGTGGCAAGTTAGGTGTTCTTGCTGTTTTCTGGCACCGTGCCTGACAGTTGCACGAGAGGGCTGTTTGGGCAGTTTTGTTTGGAAAAGGCAAGGCATACACTTGTATAGGAGATGGTTTAGTTGGGATTGGTCCTACCTTGAGCAGGGAGTTGAACTAGATGCCCTCGTGACGTCCCTTCCAAACCAATGTTTCTAAGATTATATCACTCTTACCTCAACACCAGTACCTTGAAGCTGAATTAAAGCATTATCTTCTGATACAATGTGGAGTCCTGATTTAAAGACCCCAAATTACAAAAACGCCATCATGTCCCTTAGAAAGCTGCTCCAAGTGATAATTAAGCTCATTGTTAAAAATCTGCACCTTTATTTCCATAGATTCATAGACATTAGGGCTGGAAGGGACCTCGGAAGATCATCGAGTCCAGCCCCCTGCCCCAGGGGCAGGAAGTCAGCCGGGATCATAGGATCCCAGCAAGATAAACATCCAGATGTCTCTTGAAGGCGTTCAAAGTAGGTACTTGAACCACCTCCGGCGGCAGTCTATTCCAAAGCTTGGGGGCTCAGACAGTAAAGAAGTTCTTCCTCATGTCCAGCCTGAAACAGTCATGGAGGAGTTTGTGACCATTCAATCTTGTCATCACTTGGGGCGCTCTGGTGAACCAACATTCCCTCAGATCCTGGTGAAGACCCCTGATAAATTTATAGGTGGCCATCAGATCACCCCTGAGCCTGCGCTTTTCCAGGCTAAAGAGCCCCAGGGCTCTCAGCCTGTCGTCGTAAGGTCTGCTTTCCTGACCTCTGATCACGCGCGTGGTTCTCCTTGGCACTCTCTCAAGTTTCTCCACATTCTTTTTGAATTGTGGAGCCCAAAACTGGACGCAGTACTCCAGCTGCAGCCTCACCAAGGCTGAGTACAGCAGGAGAATGACATCCTAAGATTTGCTTGAGAAATATCTAAGGATGCAAGCCAGCATTCTGCTCGCTTTACTAGCCGCAGCATCACACTGAAGGCTCAAGTTCATCTTGTGGTCAATCATGACCCCCAAGTCCCTTTCCTCCATAGTACTAGCCAGTGTAGCACTGCCAAGCCTATAAGCATGCTGCACGTTTTTCCTCCCAAGGTGGAGAACCTTGCATTTTTCAGTGTTAAACACCATCAGGTTCTCATCCGCCCATTTCATGAGCCTGTCCAGATCTGCCTGGATCACCCTCCTGTCCTCAGGTGTGGATGCTTTGCCCCAGAGTTTGGTGTTGTCGGTGAACTTGGCCAGTCCGCTTCTGACACCAATGTCTACATCATTAATGAAGATGTTAAATAGTATAGGCCCTAGGACAGAGCCTTGAGGGACCCCACTGGTCACAGTCAAGATATATGACATCAATCTCTTCTCCCTTGTCCAGGTGATAGGTCACCTGGTTGTAAAAGGAAATAAGATTGGTCAAGCTAGACCTACCCGCAACAAACCCATGCTGGCTATCCTTCAGGATGTTGCCGTCAGCCAGTCTGTTAAGAATGGCCTCTTTGATAATCTTTTCCAAGACCTTCCCAGGGATAGAAGTCAGGCTGATGGGCCTGTAGTTTGCCAGATCCACTTTCCTCCCTTTCTTGAAGATAGGCACCACATTGGCCTTCTTCCAATCTTTGGGCACTTCACCAGAGCACCAGGAGTTCTTGAAGATCTGTGCCAGGGGCTGGTCTATGATGCTGGCTAGCTTCTTGAGTACCCTGGGGTGAAAACTGTCAGGGCCAGCTGGCTTGAAGGTATCCAGCCTCTCAAGGTGTTCCTTCACAAGGTCAGCATTGATGGAGGGTAAGGAATCTTCCTCACCCGGGCCTCCCTGTCCCGTAATGGGCAGGGGCGTCTCATGGGACTGGTGAAAAACTGACACAAAGTGCCCATTTAGCAAATTGTCTTTTCCTGAGCATCGGTTGTCAGTTGTCCTGTCTGGTTTAGCAGGGGTCCAGTGTTGCCCTTGCTTTTCCTCCAGCTCCCCACATATCTAAAAAAGGACTTTTTCTTGTCCTTGATACTCGTAGCTAGTTGGAGTTCCATTGCAGCCTTGGCTTTCCTGGTTCACTCCCTGCAGGTCTGGACCAGTGCAGAGTACTCCTCCTTGGAGGTGGATCCAGTCCTCCATCCTTTGTAGGTCTTTCTTTTTAGATGCAGGAGGTCTGCTAGTTCCCTGCAGAGCCAAGGGGGCTTTCATAAAGCACTGCTTGACCTGGTACTGGCAACAGGGGACAACCTAATCAGCAACCTAACGATCGAAGGGAAGCTGGGTGACAGTGACCACGAGGTGACCACCTTCACCATCCACCATAAAACTGGCAAGTCAGTCAGCAATACAGAAGTCCTCGACTTCAGGAAAGCTGACTTAGACAAGCTAAGGAGGCTTGTCAGTGAGGCCCTAAAGGGCCACAACCCAAAGGGGAGGGGCGTTCAGGACAAGTGGTTGCTCCTCAAGGGAGCAATCCTGGATGCGCAAGCAAAGTCTATCCCATCTCGGAGGAAAGGCAGCAAAAAGGCATAGCAGCCTCCTTGGTTCTGCAGGGAACTCTGTAGGTCTTGCTTGACCAATCTTATTTCCTTTTACAACCAGATTCCCATTTAATTTGGTACATTTTCAACTTTCAGTTACTTACTTTTCTCCAACTTGAGTTCTTAGTTTTCCCCTGTGATTCAGAGAGGTTTTCTACCTTATAAAATCTGCCCCTTTATTCAATTGGGGGCTTAATCAGGTGGCTTGTCATGACCCTTCTCCATAGGACCGAGTAAGGTTTATCTTGAAGAGCTGACTCTTGTACCTGGTGTGAGCAGCACAATACAAAACTTGGCACGTGACTGATACATGAGGGGGCCATGCATTCCTTATCTATGGAAGTTGTTATCCAAAGAAGGGTAACTGTCTAATATGGTGAATAATGTAGGGCCCCTTTCTCTTGTGCCGAGTGAGAAGTCTCAGATTCCACAGTTCACGGATGAAGTCCAGTATACTGGATAATACACACGGCTAGAGGAAGGTGGGTCTTCAGGAGACATTTAAGAGAGGATGGTGCTTTATGGGCTCATGAAGGGCAGTGGCAATAATGCATGCATGAGGTTGTGCACTGCTTCATCAAGGTGGACAGGGGGCCTGACTACTGATGGACGACAGGCAACTGTCATGTCCCTAAAATGTGTTGTCTCTTACTACCAGCATCGCCTCCATCTTCCCTGACAATACTTTGGTCAGATGTATTTCATTTACAAATTTTATGAAATGTTTCTGAAATCTTCATGACAGCATTGTCTGTGGCTGCAGCATCACTGACAAGCCTTGGTATTACAGCTCAGTGTCTCACTGCCTCTCCTAGAAGTCATGTGAATAAGAATAGGAGATAGGACTAACTCTCTTGTTTGTCTCCAAAAAGTGATGGTGAAGAAAAGAACTGAGAGACCTGGCTGTGAGGAAGGAGTACAGCAAGGTGTATATTACTCTGCTTTCTCCTGCTAAGCCTCAAGGGCATCAAAAGCTGCTGCTGATAGAATGCTGATGGCATAAATGCTTGTTCTCGGTAACTAACTATAAGGAAACAACTATCCTCTAGCACCATCTCTATGGTAAACCCAGGAAAGAGCTGGATTGGAAAGGGTCTAGCTCACTACTACCTGCTGGTCAGCATGTCACAAATAAACTGCACCAAAGTTGTAAAGACTGTAAAGAGAAGACTTTTTCAGTTGCGTGCAAACCAAGGCAAGGAATGTGGGTTAACAAGGAAGAAGAAAATCTCAGATGAAGAGAAATCTGGTGTAATTAGCATTCACTGAAAGTTGGTGGAATAATCTGTACAACTGGAATATTAAAAACACTAGTTTTAACTGGTAAGGAAGAAGAGAATGGTTAAAAGATGTGTGGGAGTGGCACTATTAAAAGACACTATTTTGTGTTTTACAGTTCTTGATAACTCAGAACCACAGGATCTTGAATGCATGCGACTCAATGTGCTAAATAACAAAGGCCAAGAGGGTGTAGCAGCATGGGTCTGTGCAGACAGGAAGAATAGGTCCACAAGGGCCTGTGATGTGTGAGAAGAAAAAAAATGTTGCAATGAGGGACCTTAATTTGGGAGAGGCACTGGGAAGGGCTCACACAGCCAGCAGAAAATCATTATTAAGGTGCATAAAAATTAGAAATTATGATCACTTTCCAGCACAGAAGTATTGGACCCAAAATAACTACTTTTGCCTCATGTGAGACAGAGTTGAATTACCAGAAAATCACTGGACTGGAAGTTGGAAGCTGCATAGAAACAGTGACTGTGACTTGATTAACATTCAGTACAGTCAAACAGAAGCTAATTATAACCATACTCGCTGCTTCAAAAAGAGTTAATTTCCCAAAGCTAATAAAAACTATAAGTGAAACAGATTGAAAGAAAAAAAGAATTGGAAAAAAATGTGAATATATATTGGGAGTATTTTTAAAAGTTTATTAGATGGTCAAAAAGCCACAATTCCAAAATCAAGGAAGAGGATTAATCTCACAAAAAAAAATCCGTTTAGGCTCAGTGACAAAGTGATAGCAGTGATTAATATTTTAAGACATATAAACAAAGGGAAACAAAAGGAAACAAACAAATTAAGAGATGGAAACTGCAGAAAACTGTTAAAGGAGGCTCAAGACTAAGTGAAACGTGATGATTGAAAGAATTTAGGACAGAACTTAGGACAGAAACTTAGGAGTTTTTAAAAGCATATTAAACAAGAGAGACATTACTAGATAGAGATGGTATAATGTAGGAAAGGAAGAAATATTTAATAAATATTTCTATGCTGTACTTGGAAAGAAACAAGATGATGTACTCATATCATGAGGATAATGAAGTATTTTGCAGTCTCTTAATAACCCAGTAGGAAGAGTTCAATTGTTGTAACACTGGGTTTTTTTCTATTTCCCCTCTGACTGTTGCTATGTAGATTTATGCCAATTTTGCACTGTGGAATAAAAGCCTTCCTTTCTGCAGCTACTGGCTCCATATAAATCTCTAACTCTCCTGAGTATTTGAATTTTCTCAGAAGAATCTGCTTTCTCTTTTGCTTCTGCCTTGCTATAACTTTTACCTCTAGCTGTTGTCTTAATCTCTTAACAGCAGGCGTTGGCAATCTACTATTAGATTCAGCCCACAAAGCCATTTAATTTGGTCTCTGGTGGGGTGTTAACCCATGTGGTCAGGGAAACGGTGGATGTAGAGGAACTGGAGACATCCAGAGATGAGAGATAAAAATGATAAATGGTTGGAAAGAGCCATGTGAGGAAAGGCAATGGAACTATACATTTGGAAAGAAGGGGAGTAAGAGGAGGACATGATAGCACCCTTCAAACATATGAAAGGCTGCCATAAAGAAGATGGAGAAATATTGTTCTCTCTTGCCACAGGGGAAAGGAAGTGAGAAAATGGGTGCAAGCTGCAGCAAAACAAACTTACAAAAAATCTCAGGAGAACCTTCCTGACAGTCAGAACCACAAGACAATGGAACCAGCTGCCTCGAGAACATGCAGAATCTCTTTTCTTGGAGATTTTTGAGATGAGACTGTAGAGGCATCTTCCCGAGATTGATTAGGAATAGTGAAACCTACACCTGAGCAGGGGGTTAGACTAGATGGCCATTCCAACTCCACAGACCTATACCTGCCTTAGTTCCCCCAGATGTTTAGTCTACATGGATCCCACTCATGTTGTGCAAGCATGCATGAATCACTTGAGGAGCACCGTCCATTGGGGCAGCATGTAGCTTGCATCAGCTCATGCTTTCCCCCCAGCTCAGTGTCAAACAGTGTCAGGTAGTCTCAACTGCCTCTTAGGTCCCTCATATTTCCTAAGGTAGTGAGACGGAACACAGTTCTGCCTTCCTGCTAACTTACAGCGCCTTTTCTTCAACATAATTTACCATCTCTTTCTAGCCATCTAATCAATAACTAAAATAGTGAGCACAGAGCATGTTTACAGCTTCTTGTGTCCAACTGACAGTCTTGGCTTTTCTTTTCAAGCCCGAGTCCCAGTTTGTTGCAAAAGCTTCTTCGTACCTGGGAAAAAAATTCTGATCTCACATAGTTGGAGCTAAGAGAACCTACACAGATAAAGACTTGAATAACTTTAAACTTGCCCAGGTCCTGAATGAAGACCCTTCCTACCAAACCTAAGTCAGTCAGCTCATGACCAATGGCTATGCCTACCTTCCAGGGTCTGTTCTCGCAACCTGAGTCTGGTCAGAGACAGTTTCTCTTCTGCTTTCTCAGCGGCCAGGCGTAGAGTCTCCACCAACTCTTCAGCATCATGAATTACCTACAATAGAGAAAGCCAGAAAAAAACAAGTGTTTTGTAGAGTCACAGATATACAGGCACAGAAGCACAGAAATATGGAGCTGGAAGGGACCTCAAGGGGCCAACCCCCTACAGTGAGGTAGAATGAATATACCTACACTACTCCAATACACACTGCTCTAACCTCCACACACCTCCCCCCCCCCCCCCCCACCCCCCCCCCCCCCCCCCCCAATGAATTAAAACATGAACATCAATGCCATTTACTGGATCAGGTCATAGGTCCATAGATTGTTAGGGGCTGGGAGGGACCTTGCAGATCATCGGGTCCAGCCCCCCAGCTCTAGGCAGGAAGACAACTCAGGTTAGGTGACCCCAGCAAGGTGACTGTCCAGTCTCCTCTTTAAAACCTCCACGGTAGATGACTGCACCACCTCTGGGGGGAGTTTATTCCACAGTCTGGACACCCTGGCTGTGAATGAGCTTTTCCTGGTATTAAGCCTGAAGTGGCCTTCCAGGAGTTTGTATCCATTGGTCCCGGTCTTCCCCAGGGGTGCCCTAGTTAACAGCTATTCACCGAGCTCCTGATGCACTCCTCTAATATAGCGGTAAGCTGCTATCAAGTCCCCTCTCAACCTGCTCTTCTTTAGGCTAAAGAGGCCAGGGTCCCTCAGCCCTACCTCCAAGCAGACAGAGAAAAACGCTCTTCATCATTTTTATAACCACTTTTTAAATAACGGAACATGTGCCCCTTTAGCCCTTCCTTCAACTTTCCCCCCACAGGTGAGCAGTTGGCAACCTTTTCAAGTGGCAGGTAAGACTGCCCCAGCTCAGGTCTGAGGCAGGCAGGCACTACAACCTGGCCACAGCAATGGCAAAGCTCCATGACCTCAGCTCCATGGCCTGGATCCACTGGCTTCACGGACCGCAGGTGTCCCACCTCTGCCACAGGTCATTTTCTAAACTGCTTATCTTTTTGTTGCTCTTCTCTGGACTCTTTCCACTTTTCAACATCTCACTTGAAGTCTAGTGCCCAAGACTAAACAGTACTCCAGGGGAGGCTTCAGTGTTGTGTAGAGCAGGATAATTATTTCCCTCCGTCTTCAATACAACTCCGGTTGGTACATCCTACAATGAGTTTTGACTTTTTTTTGCTGCATTTCATTTGCTGACTCACATGGAGTTTGTACAGCACCGTGCCCCTAGATCCTTATCAGCACTGCTGTTGCCAATCCTGTTGTCCCCCATTCTATATCTGTGCATTTGTTTTCTTTCCATATGTGTAGCACCTTACTTTTGTCTATGTTGAATATATAACCACACTGGGTGATGCCAGTGACCTCAGAAGGAAATTCTGATTCATCAGGAAACTTCTGAAAAGGAGCTCCAAAAAAACAGCTTGGCCACAGTCTTAAAAAACTGAGCAGAAAGGAAGTTTCTTCTACTGAATACTACTGCTGGCTGTGGGCTTGTTACCTGTCATGGCTGTTACCACAGCTGCTGTTGGCTGCTGGCTTCTGGGTGCTCACTGCTGCTAAGCAACAACAAAATCATAATGCTCAACTAGCAGTCATCAGTAGCGCAATGTCTACCTGGGAGGAGGGATCAAGTCAGGTGTCCAACAAGTCTGTCCTGGAGCTGGTATTATTCCACATCTTCATTAACTATTTGAATCAGTAGCAGACCCAGGGACAAGGCTTTGACCACATACCTTTTTGGCTGTGCCATGCATGCACAATGAGCTCTGAGCTCCTGCTGGAGTTCCATGAGAGCAGTGAGCCCTGAGCTCACCCGCGGATTGGGACAGGGTATTCCTGGACCCACCACTTTCATGTGGTTCTGGAGCCCAGGGAATGAGCACTGCTGCTGGTCACCCCCCCTCTTCCCACTGAATTTAGGGGCAGCTGAGACAGTAGCACTCACCCCTGGGCTCTGGAGTTGCATGAAAGCAGGGGCTGTGGGCAGATCCCCCGCTGAGAGCTCACGGCAGTTGGGGGTCAGGAGCGGAGGGAGCAGGCCGCCTGTGTGCCCCACACACACGTGTGCCCCCTTAACTCGGTGGCGAAGGCAGCAGGCAGCAGTGGCGGGGGCAGCAGCAGCTGATCCCCCTAAGGTAAGTGGGGCAGAGGGTGCCAACGCAGCTGAGGCAGATCCGAAGGGGAAGCCCTTCAGATCCCTCTTAGCTCAGCCGGCAGGGAGCCGTGCTCCTGAGACACGTGCACAAACAAGCGTGCTCTGTAAGGGCGTGCCAGCATTTGCGCCGGCGTTCACGTAAGGCGGGCGCACAGTAGCGGCCCGGAAGGGCGCCTCCAACAAGCGAGAGTAGTAGACTCAGCTCCGCGGACATGGTACGGATGCAGAGCGCAGCTGCTAGGGGCCTCACCCCGGCGGCGCCACCGGCCCTGGGCTCTTCTGAGGCCTCCACCCAGACGGAGCTCCTGGTAGGGTCATAGAATCATAGAAGCAGGGTCGGAAGGGACCTTGTAGATCTTCAAGTCCAACCCCCTGCCTGGGCAGGAGAGAAACTGGGCTCAAGTGATCCCAGCAATGTAGGCATCGAGCCGCTTCTAAAAGACCCCCAGGGTGGGAGCCAGCACCACTTCCCTTGGAAGTTGGTTCCAGTTCCTAGCCTCCCTGACTGTGAAGTAGTTCCTACAGATGTCTAATCTGAACCTACTCTCCAACAACTTGTGGCCCTTATTCCTTGTTATCCCAGGGGGCGCTAGGGGAAACAAAGTCTCCCCCAAACCCTCCCAGTCCACCCTAGG